TAGACAGCTGAGCTAAAGACTCACCACCGGGCAATGGTGCAGCCAAGAGACTTGGAAAGCACCAGGGAGCTTCTTCCAGCCTGGAAGCTGCTGGTGCATGATAAGACCATTGAAGATGGGGTGTCAAAGGGCTGAGTACTCCAGAGTGGGCAGTCAGGGCCTGCAGCAAGGCTGAGCCGGTCTCTCGAACTCCAGGCAAACCATGAAAACAAGGATGTGTTGCCTGAAAGCTTGTGTCAAGAACAAGAACTGGCTGTTCCCATGGTGTCCAGAGCAGACTCAGCTCTGGTGTAAAATGTTCAGAACAAGTACTTGAAGCCTTCGCTGGGCCTTGGTCACTTTTTGATCTGTGTGCCCATTAGAAGCATGGGCCACTAATGCCTGTTTAATGCTCATGGTGAGATCACTGCAATAATTGTGCCTGTGTGTCTGGGGGTCCAAGACAAGCTCAGCTGTCAGTGTTAGCCTTCCACCTTGTTTGAGACAGGGTCCCTTGCTATCTCCCACTTTGTGTAGCAGGATAGCTTGCCCACAAGCTTGCAAAGAATCTCCTGTCTCTCTCACTCATAGAAGTGCCAGGATTACAGATGTGCACTGCTGTGTCTAGCTTTTCTGAGTATCCAAACCCAGGTCATTCAACCATCTCCCAAGCCCACAAATTGTTTAAGTGCCTTATCTAATTGCAACAAGAGTACCTACCTCCTAAAAGTTCTGTGTAGATTAAAAGATTAAAGATTTAAGAATTGGAGATGAAACCAGGCTTGGTGGTGCATGCCTGTAGTTCCAGCACATGGGAAGTGGAAAAAGAAGGATCAAGAGTTCAAGGCCGTGCTCTCGTACGTACTGAGTTCGAAGCCAGACTTGCCTGTCATTGATGAAAATGTTTCTCTGCCCCTTTCTCAGCTATTGAAATGGAACAGGGAGGCCCAATTGTTGAGTAAGCAGACTGGGTGTGAGAACCAGAAGCTGGAACATTCCTACGTATGCTCACAGAGCTGTCTTCACTGTAAAACTATTTCGCCATCTTTCACAGTCAATACTCTTCTTCAAGGTGTGGTCAGAATGTTCTGATAGTAGCAGAATACATGAACTTAGGTGATGCAGAGAAACATTTATTTAGAGTAAGTGGGACTCTTTAATTTACATTTTTCCATTTCATATTCTTCCCTTCCCCCAGATCCTCTTCCCCTCCCTATCCAATTTATCTTGTTGTTTAAAGCTTTTATTACATTTTACTCAGTGTGTGTGTGTGTGTGTGTGTGTGTGTGTGTGTGTGTGTGTGTGTGTGTTTGGGGACACATGCTATGACACAGTTGTGGAAGTCAGAGAACTTGGAAAGAGTCTGTTTTTCCTTCTATCATGTAGGTCCTCAGGAATCTAACTCAGGTCATTAAACTTAGCAGCAAGTGCCCTTACCCACAGAGCCATCTTGCCAGCCCCAGAATTTATTTTCATGTACGAGAGAAACTTTTACAAACAATACATCAAAACCATGATGTGGAAAGACTATTGCTTGGAATGGAATTATGTCTAGGAATATAATGGATAAATTTTAAAATATATTAGAAATTGAATTAGGTGATCAGCACTTGTAACGAAATTCATGGTGGGAAGATGGGCATGGTTCATATTTAGGAATGAAGGGTTCATCAGGAACTGAGAACAGGGCTCTGGTGACAAAGATTCTAATTCTAGAGCCTTCTCTCTAGTGACCTACCTTTAGGTTAGTTCTGGGCTCTTTAGTTGACATGTGACATAGAAATCTATTGCTACACTTGTGATGTTTATCCCCAGAGAATCATAGGCAACAGGCAAGAGTGGGACCCACCGCACACCGTGCATCAAAGGAATAGATACATCAGCAGTGTGGTCTAGGGTGAGGAATGTAACTCGTGGTAGAGAACACCAGGCTTTTTCTTTTGGGTCGCCAACCAGCTTCCAAATGATGACTTTTATTAGTTTTGAATGCTCAGCCTAGCTTAGGCTTGTTTCTGGCTAGCTCTTTTAACTTAACCTGTTTCTCTTTATCTACCCTTTGCCCGTGGGCTTTTTACTTTTGTTTCCTTCATTGTGTCTTACTTTCACAGCTTCTTGTGTCTGTCTGTCTTGACACTTCTGAGCCGTGCTCTTAAACATGGCAAAGATGGTAAAGTTTTATGTAAAAAATAAGCATAAAAGTTAACACTTGGTTGGTTTTGGTTTTCAAGGCAGGATTTCTCTGGGTAGCCTTGGCCATCCTGGGACTCAGAGCCCAGGATGGCCTTGAACTCATAAATTCACCTGCCTCTGCCTCCGTCATGCTGGGATTAAAGGCCCATACCACAACCATCCAGCAACACTTGGTATTTGAATGTTTCAAGTGTGGCAACGAATGTGGGAGAATCGGGGACATAAAGTGGGATGTGTCTAACACTTTGTCTCCATGGAGTGGTGATGACCACTGATAGACAGCATTCTGCTCAGGGGCCAGCACCAAGTCTTCCCAAGGTCAACTTGTGCATGGTCCAGTGCTTATTTCCCCCATTAATCAGTACTGTGCCAAAGGACCAGCCTCTGGTTGGACAGAGCTGGGCTTTCTGCAAACCTTGGAAGAGGAGGAGTGGTCATCCCTCACCACCACCCTGCAAATGTCTACACTCATTCAACTCTGAGTAAATTACTTACAAGGGGATCCCACCCCAAGATTAAGCCATCATTGGATTCCAGTTGTTGGGGGTGATGGGAGCTTTTGGAGTTGGATGGGAGCTTGAGAACTGGCTGGAGGGTGGCATCCAATGGAGAGGGCATGTCCTCAGAGGCTATACCCTGCCCCAGGCTCCTTTCTGCTCTTCCTGCTTCTTGGCTGCAATGAGCAGCTGCCTCTACCCCATATTTCACACACCATGGCATTTTGTTGTCATGCCTCTCTGCCTCTTAGGACTATAGCAGGGTATCCACTGTCCAGGGACTGAAACCATGAACCAAAGTAAATGAGAACCCACAGAGACAGGTATTCACCCCATAGCAATACACCTTGAGAAATTAAAGAATGGCCCACCATAGGTCCAGGAGTTTTGTGCCAACTGTGTTTTATTTTTGAAGCAAGTGCCATCTAGGATTCTTTTACTATGTGGATATTAATGAAGGCAGGTAATCGTATTAACGTCCCCTGTGCTATGAACGGACCTGCTGTGGGGTTCAGACCTTGATGAAACTGTATGGTCTAAGCAGGAGAGCTTGACTGCTACATCAATAAAAAGAGGTGGCAGAAGACTGTGACACAGGTCACAATTTGTTTGACTCTTGAAGATGTTGTGCCAATCAAAATAAACCCGACACAAAACGACAAAGAGGGTTCTACTAGTAGACACCTAGGAACTGGTCCATTCTCACAGAGAAAATGGGAGGGTGGCTTCCCGAAGTTGAGAAGAGGGAATGGGCACATACTGTTTTGTGGATGGTATGGTTTGAATGTTTGTTTCTCCCCACCCCCAAAGTTCTTATGTTGAAAGGTGATAGTATTAGGTACTGTCCCCAAGGTGGTTGGTAGTATTAAGAAATTGGAACTTGGCCAGGTGGCATACATTTTGTAACCTCAGCACTTGAGAAGCTGAAGCAAGAGGATTTTAAGTTCAGAGCCTGTCTGGGCTAAATGGTGAGCCCCTGTCTCAATTTGAGAACGCAGGCCTTTAGAAAGGGTTGGCTCATGTGGGTTCTGACTCCATGGATAGGCTCGTGGGAGTCTGTCTTCCCATTCTGCCATGCACGGCATACACAAGGTACCATCTAAGAGCGACAGGTCCTCACCAAACTCCAAACCTACCCAGGCTTGACCTTGAACTTTTCAACCTCCAGAGCGTGAAATGAACTTCAGTTGCCTATGAATTACCTAACCCAAGGTGTTTGTGTGGTAGTAGTTTACCAGACAAGACAAGACAAGACTTTAGGTGCAGAGTCTCCCTTCTGCAAGATGGAACAGCTTCAAAGATAGAGTGATGGTCCCACAATGGAGGAACCACTAACCTTCTGTCTTAGTCAGGGTTCTGTTGCTGTGAGGATACACCATGATCACAGCAACTCTTATAAATGAAAGCATTTAGTTGGGGCTGGCTTACAGTTTCAGATGTTTAGTCCATTGTCATGGCGGGAAGCATGGCAGCACACAGACAGACAGACATGGTGCTGGAGAGGTAGCTGAGAGTTCTAAATCTGGATCCACAGGCAGTAGAGGGACGGAGGGAGGGAGAGGGAGAGGGAGAGAGGGAGAGAGAGAGAGAGAGAGAGAGAGAGAGAGAGAGAGAGAGAGAGAGAGAGAGAGAGAGAGAGAGAGAGAGAGAGAGAGACTGGGCCTGGTATGGACTTTTGAAACCTTAAAGCCCACCCCCAGTGACACACTTCCTCCAAGACCACACCTACTAATCTGTTCAAATAGTGCCACTCCCTAAGCATCTAAATATATGAGCCATTCTTATTCAAACCACCACACCTTCTGGGTGGCTAAGATGGTAACTTGCCTGTTATATTTGACCACATTTTCTAAAAATGGATGAGGTAAATGTGGAAGCAACTAGTGGCAGAGTGACGATAAAGCCAGAGAGGCAGCCTTGGGCACAGCTGTCACTTATACTACCTCGGGGGCAAATAAAGTGACAGGATGGCTAAGGCCTTAATACTGAAAGCTGGAGCCAGGTATGGTGTCAGTTTGACAGGGTCTAGAATAGCAGTTCTCAACCTTCCTACTGCTGTGACCCCTTAATACCCTTCCTCACATTGTGGTGACCCCCAACCATAAAATTATTTTCGCTGCTATTTCATAACAGTGATTTTGCTACTGTTATGAATTGTAATGTACATATCTGATATGTGGCCTCCCCAGAGAAGTTGTGATCCACAGGTTGAGAATCTCTGATCTAGAATCACCTACAAGACAGGCCTCTGAGCAGGCCCATGTGAGATTGTCTTGATTACATTGATTGATGGGAAGATCCTTGCTAACTATGAGTGGTATGAACTGCTCTCACTTAGGGAAGACAGTCTTTTATTTAGGAGAGTGTGGTTGGAGACCAGGGACTGGTGTTGACGTAGCAGGACAGGAACCCCTCCTCCCCAAGCTTAGAAGATGCCTTTGAGCCAGGCAGAAATCTCCGTGCTCTGAGCTCTGCTCCTCAGTTCTCTGCCTTTGACTTGGTTGTTTTCTCCTCTGAGTCCTTGCTGGGATGCACGCGGAGGACTTGGGCTTTTCCCATGGACTCTGGAGGACGGGAGAGGCAATGCCAAGAGAGGAATGACATGGAGGTATGCCAGTGTCAAGGCCAGCTTTGCCCTCAGTTCAGTGGGGGACCTGGGACAAGCTGGCTCACTTCCATGAACCATAACACTCCCAAGTCCTTTCTTATCTGGATACCAAACACGAGTCAAGTACCTACTGCATGCCAGACACTTTGCTGGGCCCTTTGGACGCTACACAACCTGGCAAGGGAGAACCATATCCACTGTCGACAAGCATTCTCTCCCTTCCTTTCCACCCTGCCCTCACACTCTCTGGTCTAAGATACTATGTCCATTGCAAGGGCATCCTCTCTGGGCTCTCTTTTCCCTTCTTGCCATCACCACCCCCATTCACGCCTTGCACAGTGACCCCAGGGACATACTACATCCTACTCATAACCTCTCCTCTTCAAAAGACTGGCTCTGTCTTGTCTTACCTCATACTGCTGCCCCCCTCAGAGGGCTCTGATACCCTGGCCGGCTTGTTCTTCCATCAGTATACCAGACAGGAGAGTGCTCTACTAGAAGTAGGGCATTCCCAGGTGGACACTTCTGTGGCTCAGCATAGGGAGCCCCCTCCCCAATTAACCTGCTGTCCTCCTGGAGGTTCTTCCCTTTGTACACTTCCTCTCTAAGATGTCAGCCCCAACGACATAGGAACTTGTCCCAATTCTTCCCTCATGACTCCCCAGAACCTGACACACAGTAAGTACACAATAAATGTTTCCTGCCTGAAGAAGTGACTCAACTTCCTTGGGCAGGAATCCATCTAGAGCTGGCCTCAGTGTGCCTCCAGAATAATTAACTCCCTTTGAGGGCTCTTACCTGGTTTGTCTGTCTTGGATAAAGGTGGTGTCTTCGTCTTCTTCAGGGATGGACTATAACCAAATACAAAGGACAGGGTTGGGAGGCTGAGTCTACAGATGTTGACTAGGAGTTGGGAGGTGGCATAGGTGTGGTCAACCACCAGCTCCCAGAAGAGGTGGTGCAGGACTGTGCATAGATGGACCCACATAGCCTCCTGCGCCTCCAAAGCTGTGATTCTGTGTCTGCTGTAGCCATGGGGAACCAAGGTCGCCTTATCTGGGATATCCAGGGCTACAGACTTTCCCTTGCCTGCCAAGCTGGCTCTGGACAAGCAACTAATGTTCCTTTACCTTGTGTGAGCTACTATTAGACTTCACACACCCACGTCATTTTCCCTACAACTCCGGCAGGAGGCTTTAGAGAGGGGTGAAGAGGCCGACTTGGGGTCTCTCGTCCCGGCACAGTAATGCTTACTTCCCTTCGTCTCCTCCCATTGGCATATTTACTATGTTGCAGCACTAGAATTGAACCCAGGGCCTGTCCAACAGTCTGCCAATGAATCCCTCCCTTGATCTTCTCTCAAATACAAAAAGAAAATCAACTCTAGGGCCTGAGAGAGGACACCCTAGGGCTAAGATTATAGCTCAGGTGGTAGAGTGCTTGCCTGACATGTCTGAAGCCTTGGGTTCCATCCCCAGAGCTGTTTACAAAGGATGTGGTGGTACATACCTACAATCCAGCACTCAGGAGGCAGAGGCAGGAGGGCTGAGTTCAAGGTCATCTTCAGATACAATAGGTTCGAGGCCAGTCTGATTCACAAAATATCACCCACCAAAATACGTCCCCCCAAGCCTAAGCCACTTTCTCAACAGTGCCCCAGCACCCCAAGATTTAGTCCCTGCAGCCTGCTCATTCCAGAACATCAGGCCAGGGCACCTCCCACCCCCTGAGATGGGCTTTTCCCAGCCTCTCGACTCTGCAGTTTCCAATCCTCAGTGTTCGGCTGGAGGGATGGCTAAGCCATACGGCACTTGCTGTGTGAGCATGTGATGATCAGAGGTCCTGCACCCGCATGGATGTTCTCCACCCTGTGCCTTGAGGCAGGATCTCTCCCCTGCATCCAAAGCTCCCTGACCCCGTCTAGTCTGGCTTTTCTCAAGGATCCTGCCTTCCTTTCCCACTGCTACGGTGCTGGGATTACAGGTGGGTCACTAAGCCAGGGAGGGTGGATGCTGATGACCAGGGCGTGGTTCTGGGAACAGAAGGGCAGGTGAAGGGCCCTGAGCCCACCTGTAGGTTGCCTGCTGTGTCTCTTGAGGAGGTTCTTGAAGCTCTTGGACTTGATTCAAGAGCTTCTCTGCTGGGAGGGAGGGGAGAGGCTGGGGCATGAGCCGAGCCACCGCTGTCTGCAGAAGTCCCAGTGCCAGGTCTTTTTCTGAAAACAGCACAGGGCAGGGTCCTCAGCCCCACCCCTTTCCTGTCTCATCCAGCTCGTCCCCACCCTGGTGAAGGACAGCATCCTCTGATCATCCTGCGCTTTCCCCATAGGTTCCCCGATCCCAGGGAAGGCCCCCACAGTGCTTGTAGCTCTGGGCAGAGTCCTCAGCCCTACATCGTCCCCTCCTACCACGAAAGCCCATATACATTTTGGTTTTGGCTCCTTCCAACCACTCCCATCTCCCTTCCTCCCTACTCCCGGACCACATTTGGGAATCTAATGGGTTTTACACCCCGTTGGCCCCCATGCCTCCTTTCTCCCACCCCTTCCTCCAGTGAGCTTTGAAGCTCCTTCCCTGGGGATTCTCTCCTCTCCCCTTTCCTCACTGTTCCAAAGCAGATGTGTATCTGTGGGCTCCGTGTTCAAGCCTGTGTGTGCATGTGTTTCCTGCAGCGGGCAGGGGGGGCTGGGTCTGCTGGGAGCAATCTTTGGCTCTTTCCTGCTCCCAGACACCTATGCCTGAGGTCAGTACCAAAAAGGGGTCCCCTCCAAGGAACAGGGACACATGATGTTGGGAAGCCTTTGGGTTGCTTTGGGACTCCCAAAGAGAAAAATAGAGAAGGCTGAGTGGCATCTGTCCTGCAGGATGAGGAATAAGGGCGAGGTCTTAGCAATCCCTGATATAGAGGGAGGTCTACCCATGGTGTCCTCACCCTTTGGCGGGGCATAGAGGAGCCAGAACTGGATAGCATTGAGAGAATCCGTCTGTAGAATCTGACAAAGAAGCTCCAAGATCTGTGTGAAAGAGGACAGGCTGTGGTCAGGGGGGCCCCTGTCACACTCTAGCCAGGGAACAGCAGCCTCCTCCCCTTGGCACGGGGTCCCTGGGCCACATGCTTGGCTAAGTGCTTCCCTCTAAAAGTTCCTCCATGAGACCTAGCACTTTGAGGAGGGGGGTCTTTTTTCTCACAGTTGTCCTTAGGATTCCTGCTGGCCAGGTAAAGACTACGAGGCCTCAAGCAAGGAAGGCATCAGGTGGGGACTGTTAGAACAGAATCAAGCCTCAGATATCAGAGAGGTGAGACCTCTCAGCCCCATAGTCTCCATTGGGCTGGTTGGAACCTAGGGCCCCTCACTGGGACAGCAAAATCAGAGCTGGCCAGTCACCTCCTCAGAGACGCACCGAGTCCTACATGCTGGGATCTTTTGGGTGGTGATTGGGGGTATCCCAAGGGCCTCCCCACCCAGGAGCGCCAAGAATCTGGAGATGTTTGCCAGGAGGTGGGGGACTCGCTGTAGGCAGTCTGCTGGCCAGAGTGGGCTGCTTCTGCCAAGTGCCTAGTGAGGGGTTCCATCCAGTGAAGTAGCCGGGACTCTTGGCTCCTAGCTGCCTCCTCAGCCAGTGGCTCCCCCTTTCTCCTCCAGTCAAGTAGCGGCAGTATATCGTCCAGCTGTTTCCTGGATGTGCTCTGGGGACTTCCTAGGCCATGTTGCAGGTGGCGACTGTAGCTATGGAAGTCTGGAGTGGGGGCCCGCCGTGGGAGGTGGATCTCTGTGAGTCCTAGGAAAGTAGGGCTCCCTTAGCACTTTCCAGGAAGCCTTCCTAAGGACCTGGAGGGTCTATCAGACCCTGGCAGGCCCACCTTATCCTCGGTGGAGTAGGAACTGGCTTGGGCTTCTCCCTCAGGCCTGTAACCCACCCTAGCCTCCCCCACCCAGCACCCACTCGCAGCTCCCACCCTGAACTGCCCTTTGGCCCTTCCCCATTCTTCTCATCCTCCTTACCTGCCCTGGGCCCCCTCCCCACGAGACCTGAGAACCTAACTCCAGGTGCGGTGAGGCCGCCCTGTGGTGGAGAAAGTACCAGTGCTAGCCTGGATTTGCTGGTCGTCCGTTGGGAGACCTTGCCATAGGACATCACCCCAAAGAGCCTAAAACCTCTCTGTGTGTTGAGTGGGGTTCCTGAAATGTGTCTGATCTACCCATATTGCTGGGCCCAAAAGCGCTGCCGTTCAGCGAGAGGTGCTGACACTTTGGTTCTGGGGGGCTCTCATGCGCTCTCACAGGGGTCGCCGACGCCCTCATGCACTGTCACACAGTGGGGGGCTCATTTCAAGTCTTGATGAGGAAAGAAACACAGGAAGCTGGGTTCAGGCTAGCCTTGCAGGCTGTAGATGGGCAATGCTCTGGGCAGGCCCTTCCCTCCCAGGTTCTCAGAACTTTCTCAAGAACAATGAATGTTGGCACTGGGAAGGTGCTTCGATGGTAATGCCGTGATAACGTACGCATGCTCCCAATTGGGCCAATGGCCCACGAGAAAGGACTTACACAGAGAGGGTCAGGATGATGGCAGGCTGTCTAGAGGCAGTGGCGCTCAGAGCCCAGGAGAAGGACTCCTGGGGCACAGGCTTTCTGATCTTACAGTCTTAGGGGCAGTGTCTCTGGAGAAGCCACCCTAAGGCAGGCCAGAACGGTGCTGGGTGGAAAGCCCTGGGTACCTGGAGGCTGAGACCACTGCAGTCCCTGCCTCCAGAGTGGGGCTTACCAGCAGATCCTGGTCCTGTGGAATGGAGGCTTGGGCTCCTCCATCGCTGCCAGAAGGGTGGCCCCGCTGGCCCTGGCGGCTGCGGCGGCTGAGGGCATAGCTGGAAGCTGGGATAAGCCTACCCGTCTCAGCTGAGTACTTTGCCCCCTGTTCCCTCTGAGGAGGCTCTTCCTTCAGCTGGAAGGAAAGTGACAAGAGATTCTAGGAGCTGGTGAGAGTGGCAGAAGGCAGGGGGAAAAGATAAGGAAGAAGCCAGGCCACACCAAATGCTGCCTCCCCGAGATTCCAGCAGGGACCTAGGATGCCATCAAGCCATCTGCACCCTGTCCCGGGTCCTCTTTCATTGGCCCTGGCTCCTCCTGCATCCTAACTCAGCATCCCAGGGTCCAATGAAGGTGGCCCTGATGGTTTTTGTTCTCCCCCAGAGGCAGATCCTCTTCCAAACATCAGAGGTATGGGAAGTAGTGTCCTGTGCCCCTGTGTCAACTCTGATTCTCAGCTCTACTGCTCTTGTGTCTGAGGTCTGTTCCTCACAGTGTAACAAACATCCTTTATTCTCTATCCCTGTGTTTGTGTGTGTGTGTGTGTGTGTGTGTGTGTGTGTGTGTGTGCGTGCATGTGTGTATGCATTCTTTGAGCATGTACATGTGTTTTTGCATTTTCATATGTATACAGGTACACGTGTATGTATGCTCGAGTGTGCACATGTGTGGTCACAGGACAACTTCAAGTGTCATTCCCTTTTTTTTTCTGAAACAAGGTCCCTCACTGGTCTGGAACTTGCTTGTCTCTCTGCTTCCCTAGAGTAAAAATTACAAGCATGAATCACTATGCCAGGCCCTTTTTTTCAAGATTTATTTAATTTCATGTGTGCCAGTGTTTGTCTGCATGTCTGGATGTGCACCACATGTGTGCAGTGTCCTTTGTTGATCTGGAAATGGAATTACAAATGGTTGTGAGCCACCATGTGAATTCTGGGAACTGAACTGATCCTTTGTAAGAGCAGACAGCTCTCTTAGCTGGCTGGAGAGCCATCTCTCAGACCACCCCACTCCCACCCTTCAGGCTTTTTAAAAGTGGGTTTTGGGGATTGAACTTGGGTCTTCATGCTTATAAGGCAAGTGCTTTGTTTTGTTTCGTTTTTGAGATAGGGTCTCTCTACATAGAACTGACTGTGTTAGAACTCACGGTGTAGATCAGGCTGGTCTCAAACTCACAAACTTACAGATTCAAGTACCTCTACCTCCCAAGGGGTTGAGTGCATGTTGCGCCATGCTCATAAGGTAAGTGCTTGTCTTTCTTTCTTTCATTGGTAAGTCCCAGCCCTTGACACCCTTTTTCCTGCCCTGGGAAATCTCTGGGTACAGGGCAGGCTTAGAGCCTCCTGTCAGTGTAATTCCAGCTAAAGCGTAGACTTTACCTGGTTGTTTTTTGTTTGCTTGTTTTTGCTTTGCTTTTACTTGGTTTGAGACAAAAATCTCAGTAAGCAGCACTGACAAGCCTGGAACTTTCTGCGTAAAGCAGGCTAGCTATAAACTTGCAGTTATCCTCCTGCCTCTGTCTCCCTAATGCTGATAGACACAGCCATTTTCCAGCACATTTTAAAGAAAATAAGACCTGGACACCTATCTGACTTATCCTGAGCACCCTAATGAGTTCGTTGCAAGCAGGGACAAGAAGCCATGTCCCCACCCCTGCAGGTGGGTTACCCAGAACACTCCATTACAAAGGGCCAGGTCTGTCCCGAGACCATCTATCTGCCTTTTCTACTTTGTCCCTGAAGGGCCGTGTGAGATCATCCCCACTCTGTCTGAAAACCTCCAAGGATTCTCCCTCCTGATGAGAGTGGATGCTAACCCATGTGGGGGAACTTAGGAAGAAATTCTTCCTCCCCACCATCCAAGTCTGCCTCCTCTCAGCTCTCGTCGCCACCCACTTCTACCCTGCGCTCCAGCCTCTGTTCTCTAAAGACGTTCCCAAGTGAGCCAGCGGGCCTTTGCTCAGAAGTCACCATCCTCCCTTAGCAGGGCCCCCTCCCGTGCCAGCAGCAGAGCTTTGGAGGGACTCACAAAGGCTTTCTTTCCAGGCTCGCTTCTTTGTTCAGCAGCAGGACCAGCCTCATTGGCCCTTGCCTCGGTTTCCTTAGCAAAGTTAGCCACTCGGGAAGCTAGGTCCTTTAGATTCTTCTTCCAGGCTTCTGAAAGGACAGGACAAGGTCTTGGGGGCCCTGTTTGCCCTCCGCGTGTCCTCAGGACTGGGATGGAGGGGAAATGCCTATCCCCAGGGAGAAGCATTAGAAACCACCATGGAACAAGGGTTGCTAATGCTGACAGTCTCCCTGAGTCCTCTCTGGGGGGATGCTGGAGGACATCAGGCTCCTGCGTTTAAATGTAAGTGGTTTGATCTGGATTCTCTTCCCTTTTAGATGCCTGGAGCTAACAATGTGATTCGGGGGAAATGCCATGCCTGTTGTTAAGACATTGAGCAGCTCTCTAGACAGGTGTAGTTCCGTAGCCAGCCCTCAAGTGTCTCTGCCCTGTGCTGGCTGTCACCCTGTTCCACAGGATTTCTAGCACACCCTACCCTCCTGACTTTCCCACACCTAGCAGCAGAAAAGTAGGGCTTGGCCTCCAAAGTCCTTCCAACACTGCAGCTGGAGGTCCTGATAAACTACTGCCTGTTAAACTACATGTCACTAAATGTTACAAGCGTTACTCTCATCTTTAGCTCCAAGTCACATGTCACATGACTATATCCAAAAATCAGCTTAACTCCTGCTCTTTGTTACTCCTCAAACACCACAAATCCAAGCAGGTGCCCTTTTTTCGGGTTAGGGCCTAGGGAATAACAAATGAAATTGTCCCAGGAAATGAGGGGAAAGGGGGAATCCCAATTGAAGAGCAATGGCCTTTTTCTTCTCGAGCTCCTGTCCAGCCACACACTTTGGGAGAATTATGAGGCCCCAGGTAGATGGGTGTGGCCAAAGTACCCACCAGAAGAAAGCTGAGGGTTCCGAATGGACTGTGGGTCCCCAACAGGGACTGAGATGGTGGGTATCCCCATCAGACAGCCGGATAAGAGTGCAGACTTAGTCAAAGGTGCCAAAGAGAACTCGTCCCTGACCATACAGACAGGCTTCCCAATGAGATCTGCAGAGGAGAGAAGATCTGTGAGTTGAGGGGCCTGGTAGACCCCCAGGAGCTCCAGAGGGCTAGAAAGAGGTGGTGAGGGGGCAGGGAGCCCTTCAGGCCTTCCTCTTCCTGTAACCACAAGCTCATGTCATCAGAGCCAAAAATCTAGACCAACAGCCACCGTGTTCACGGGCACAAGAACAGGAAAGACCTGCTCAGAGTCACCAGTGAGTTGGGCAGAGGCAAGACAGAGTCAAGTCTTCAAGGTATCTCCAGAGGTCCTTCCGGCTTCCCGTGACAGGTCAATAAATTGTACATGGCTTAAAGATGAAGACTGTGGGGGCCAGGGAGACAGTTCAGTTGGTAAGTGCTTGCCTTGAAAACAAAAAGATTTGAGTTCAATGCCCAGACATATGGTTTTTTAAAAAGGGCTGGGAAGATGGCTTAGTGAGTAAAACCACTTGCCATGCAAATGAGAGGGTCTGCCTTTGAATCCCTAGAACCCATGTATAAATGCCATATGCATGGTAAGTGAGCAATTGTAATCTAGTGTTCCTATGGGGAGGGGAGGGCAGGGAGAAATATCAAGGAGGCTTGCTGGCCAGTTAGCCTGGCATACACAGGGAGAAACAAAGATACTCTGTATCAGACAAGGTGGGAGGCAAGGATTGACCCCTGAGGCTGCCCTTTGACCTCCACATACATACCTCGACATAGATATATTCATAAGTGCAAATGTGTGTACACACACATATACACACAAAGCCAAGCCACGAACGTGCATGCATGTGTGTTCGTGTGTGTGTGTGTGTGTGTGTACACGAACATAACCATGCACGTTCATGTATGTGTGTGCAGGTGAAGGCCAGACAACAGTGTTGTTCTCCAGGCACCATCTACCTGTTTTATTTGAGATAGAGTCCCTCATTGGCCAGCAGCTCACCCATTTAGCTGGGATGGCTGGCCCCGTGAGTCCTAGGGATCCTCCTGTCTCCACCTCCGCAGCTCTCAGATTACAAGCTTAGGCCACTATGCTTGGCTAGGCCTTGACTGCTTTGGTTTCAGGGTCTACTGGCTTCTCCAGGCTCTTTGGCTCCTTGCAGTCTTTCACGTCTCCTAATCTCTAGGTATTCCTGGACTGTAGCTCTCTAGTTGCTCAGGCTGACCATTAAGGAATGACGCCGATGCCTCTCTGCCCTGTACTTCACCTTCCTGGGGCTTTCCCTTCTGGACCTCTAGACTAGAACTGAGGGATATTCCGAGGCTTAATGGTTCAGCTCCCAACAAGGCCAGCGGGACCTTGTTTGTGCTGTCACCCTCCCAAGGGCCCCACTTGACTCAGTGAAGTGATTGTTATTATGAATTTTAGACAGACTGTCACTAGGTGGCTCAGGCTAGGCAGGACCACTTATGTAGGGTGGCCTCAAACTTGTGGTGATCTTTCTGCATCCCAAAAAATGCCAGGGTTATAAGAGTACATATGTCACGCTTGGGCGGCTTAAGACAGCACCAGTGGCCTGCAGGATCCACCTGATCTCGCTCCAGTGCCTCTCTGAAACGTCTGTTCCCTTCCCCTTCTGACTCTGCTCCAGATACCCAAGGGGCTCTCCGGCTGTGCCTCCAATAGAGCCAGGGCCATTGTGTCCCTCTGCAGGACATTCTAGTGCTTGATTGAGTCATGCTCCCACCCTTAATTCCTTTAGTCTTTCTCAATATCATGTCATTGACTAGGTCTCTTGTGACAACCTTTTGAAAGTGGCCATCTCCCCTCTCAAACCTAACAGTGACAACTAGTCTATGTCTCATCCTTCCCAGATGGATGTCAGCTACAGGACAGCAGTGACAGTAGTCTGTTCTGCCTATTGTCATGTCCTTAGAGTCCAGACAAATGTCATCCTACAACTCACACTCTGTAAATACTGCAGATGGATGAGTGGTTGGGTGGATGAGTGGGTGGGTGGATGAGTGGGTGGGTGGATGAGTGGGTGGGTGGATGGTCAAAAGAACGAGGCAGCATGAGTCGGAAGTCAGAGCATAGTTCTGGGGTGAGACACGCATCCCTTTCTCTGACTCAGGGGAGGGAAATTCTGTGGGGACCTCTGATATACCCTTACAGCCTGCACTTTCCCCCAGTCCCCCAGGTCAGCCATGGCTTGGCCACTGGACAGCCTTGGGATGCTGGCCAGGCCCCATGCTCTCTAGGCTCTGCCTGGAAATGGATAAAGAATGTGTGCCTTTACACCAGATCTCATGACCAGCTGGTGTTCCCCACTTCTGCAGGGCCTTACAGCCACTTGATCCTACCTTGGATGTGTGTCACATGATGTGGTTGGGGGTGGTGCCGGGAGAAGAAGGAATGGTGACTGAGGCGTCCAAAACGGTAGGCACTTGGTGTTTGGGGTTTAAAGGCCTTCAGCTCCTCTTGAATCAGATCGAAATCCACAATGCCTGGGACCACAGGCCCTTTCTGGAACCCAGCATCCCCGAGGCTCCTCGGAAAGTGCGCTGGCTTCTTCTCAGACTCTGGCTCTGCCTTTGGACTGAAAGGGGATGGTTAAAGAGAGACGAATAGTGTTTCCTCTGGTTCACCAGGCCTCGGGACTCAAGTGCCTATCATGGAGGCCAAGTCCCAGAGGCGGAAATCTGCCTTCATGGCACCCCCGCCCTATGGTCCCCAAAGCTTGATTTCCCCACAATCCTTTCCCAATGATGCCATCCGGTCCCAGTGAGCCTCTGTCTTCCTAAGATGCCTTGGTAGGGAGCTGGGGTCCATCTGTCAGAGAGCAGATGGAACCTCCCAGGATCCCCGCTTTCTTCCTGAGATCAGATCTAAAACCAGAAAGAGAAGCCTCAGACCCACCTAGTCACCACACCCCTACGATGCACCAAAAAGACCCTTATGTATATTCTCTGGGAACAGAGACTGGCCTCATTAGAGACCTCTCCCCAAACCAAAACTTCGGCAACCCCAAGAAGTCAGCTTTAGGCTGTCACCCTCCCCTGTGCCCTTCTTATCTTAGACTCAGCACTCAGGGATCGGAACTAGAGCCAAGGCCAGGGAAACCCCAGAGCCCTTTCCCCACGTGGTCCCTCCCAGAAGACGCGGACCTGACACCCAAGACGCATAGAGGGAAGCGGCATCCAACTCTTGTTGGGCTAGGCTGAAGACCAGCTGTCTCAGGTTCCCAGCACCCCGCCCCACCCCCAGGATCAGAGGACGGTTTGCCTCTGTCCCTGACAGAAAGGGAGATCAGTCTAGATCCAAAGACATCCCAGGGGGGCCTGAGGTACCACCTGCCTGGTGGCTTTCCGCACTTCCCTCTCCCGCTGGCCCTGGCTGCAGGGAGGTCCCTTGGTGGAGTGGAGCTGAGCTGGGAATATGCTAAGCAAGGCGTGCCTCCCCTGATTCCTGGGGGGCTGTCGCTGGGCGGCCCCCTGAGTATCCTGTTCCATTCTCCTTTCAGATCTAGGCAGTCTGGGTCTTAAAGAAATAAAGCAAACTCCTCTGAAGCGGCAGTTAATAGCCTCCTCTACCCCCAAATAAGAGGAAGTCACTGAAAACTGGGGAGCACCTGTGCTCCGGCCCTGCCTCCTAGCTTGTATTTCAGAGGCCCGTGCCCACTCAGCTACCCAGACCCTGGTGCATGGCATTCCAAGGTGAGGGAGGGTCTTTTCTGGAACTTGGACCCCAGTTTACCAAGTTCCTCCAAGGTTGCCTTTGTCTTCCATCCTGCCTCTTCTCCCTTTTGGTCCCCGCACATTCCTTTCTGCCCTGTGTGCATTCAGGTCCTCACCTTGCTAGTGGATGCTCAGCCAACTGGGTTTTCACCTCCATGGTCATCACAGGGTTTGCAGTGAGAGATCTAAAAACTAGAATCCTAATGCCAGTGTTCTTGATGGATGGCACAGCTCTGGTGGAATGGTGGGGGGTGTATGAACTGGAACATACAATCTGAGGGAAGAAGGGGACAGACAGTATGTGGTAACACTGAACACTGTATCACCCAGTAGTTTCTCTCCCAGACATAAGAAAAACTCCAACAGCTGTGCAACATGGTTTGTCTGTGAGCGTAGTGCTATTCAGAGGGCCCAAAGCAGAAAAAAAATGACATCACATGTATCTGAAAACACAAGTAAGCCTGGGCTGCGTTCAGACCATGGAGCTTGTATGTTTCTGTGAGAAGCAGTGAACCATAGTGACAGCCATGGCATGGGTAAATCTCACATAGTACTCAGCATGATTTAGAAAACCATATAGGGTAATGGTTCTCAACATGTAGGTCACAATCTCTTTGGGGGTTAAATGACCCCTTCACAGGGGTTGTATATCAGATAGGTACGTTACAACCCATAACAGTAGCAAAATTACAGTTATGAAGTAGCAACAAAATAATTTTATTGTTGAGGGTCACCACAACATGAGGGTCTGTATAAAAGGGTTGCAGCATTGGGAAAGTTGAGAACCACTGATACAGGGTCTCACTATGTAGCCCTAGTTGGCCTAGAACTTGATATGTAGACCATCCCAGACTTCCCCTCAAACTCACAGAGATTCATCTGCCTCTTACTCCAGAGTGCTAGAATTAAAGGTGCCCCCACCATACCCAGCTTGGAAATATTTTTTCTTAAGTAAAAGTTCACAGAGTGAGCAAGATGGCTCAACAGGTTGAGATACTTGCCCCCTGCCTAAGTTTAACCCCTGCAACCAACATGATTGAAAGAGAAAACCAACTCCTACAAGTAGAGGAGGCTACTAACTGCCTACATACCACACACACACACACACACACACACACACACACACACCTATACACACCCATACACACAATCTCTAGGGCAAACAGAATTGTCACACACATGAGGGCAGACAATAAAACAACTAAGGAAATTCCCCTAGTGGCATTATTAAGGAAGAGAAGAGTACACAGGAGATGTGTTAGTGGCAATGCCATGGTTCTTTACAGGTGGTGCATTTACGACAATCCAGTGCACTATCAAGTAAACCAACTAAAGGAAATGCATGAAAGGTAATAGGTGGCAAACCAAGAATTGTGATTAAATCTATAGACCCGATGCAAGGGCAAGAGACAGGACTGAGTGCCTTCTGGGAAAGGCCCCCAGGATCACAGATCTGCAAGGCTCTCTGAGAGGCCTCGCTTGAGGCTGCACAGGCAAGGACCAGCATCCAGCATCTGACTCACAGGCTCCTGATCTTTTGTCTAAAAACAATGAGCAGGGCTCCCTCTTCAGGAAGCTTCAGGCAGGTATCAGCGATGGCAGGGGCTGAGTGCTGTCTCGAGTGCTTGGATGCTTCATGCTTGAAGACAGGGCATTTGGAAGACCCTCATCCACCCGCCTACAGGAAAAGGTGCTCTTTAGAACTCTCAAATGCTTTTGACCATCACAACAGCAAGAAATCCATTTTTCCAGGGTCCCAATTCACATACATGTTAGTGTGTGTGTGTGTGTGTGTGTGTGTGTGTGTGTGTGTGTGTACAGCCAATATGGGAGTTACACATGTGTTGTACATGGATTCTTGTGTTTTTTTGTTATGTTTTTTGTTTTTGTTTTTGTTTTTTTGGCCTTATGACCATTAAACTACTTTAATGAGCTTATGAGACGCCACCCACACTAGAGGTGTCAGTAGGGACCTAGTGGGAGAGACAGATGAGGTCACTTTAGGTCATCCCTGCGTTCCCTGCATCTGTCCCTGGGCTCCTTGACAGTCAGGTACAGGAGAGCTGAAGGTAGCCACCAATATAATCACAGGATACCCTCTTGTCCCCCATTCCTTTGTCCTCACCAGAGCCTATTTCATTTCCCGCCCTCCAGAGAGGTCCCGGAGCTTACCAGGAAGATGTCCCCTGGTGCCTGACCAGGACAGATAAGAAGACTAATCGAGGGTAAGGCTTTGTCGGAACTGTGGGCAAACCCATTGCTTTGTGACCGTGCTGAGCCCAGTGGTTGCTAGGCTACCCCTTCCCCACAACTCCGGAACAGAGCCCCAGAATCTTTCTCCTCCACCCCGATGAGGTTCATCTTTCCCCTTCTGGTGGGTAGACAAATGGCAGAGGACTTTCTCCTGTCCCACGAAAAGCCTCCTCCACTTCCCATCGAAGCACTTCCAATGGGGACCCAGATAAGAAGGTTGACTACCTGGTCCAACCTGCCAGCAGCAGACTGAGAGAGAAAATCTTGCCAAGGATTCTGGTTAGGCCGGATTCTGGGCTTGCCAGCTTGATATATCCAGCTACTGCTGTGCCCAGTCTGCCTCTGTGAGCTTTGATTCTTGGGATCAGTACTCAGGGTAGTTGGTTACCTCTTAGGACCTAGAGGGTCCCAGTGGAGGGGTGGCAGCAAGGGAGGATTAGGGTTTTCCGTTAGTTAAGCTGCCTGCATTGCCCGGGATGTGGAGAGCTAAGTATCCTCTGTTCAAATCCCCTTTGGGGAACCAAAAGTAAAATTAATAAAAGTTTAAAAACTCAGGCCCTGAAAAGAGAACTTCTAATAACTGGGAATGCCATGGCTGGTGCCTGAGCCCCGCTCTCAAGAGAAGGGGAGGTGAGCTTCCACCGCTTGGGTCAACATTCCTGTTTGCTAATTGCTAGTCATAGTTGTAAAGATCCCTCCACCCAGGGGATGGCTGACAGACCCTGTGACCCTGTAACCCTGTCTTACCTTATTCAAACGCATCTGGCTTAAAATGTATAGTTACTGCTTTACTCTGTACTTTGTGTGACCTTAAGTAACCATGGAAACTCTAAACTTATGGTCTACTCCTTTAAAAGCTTCTCTTTTAGGCTGGTTGGCATTTCATTTCCCCACCATAGGGTGAGATCCAAGCTGGCCAGCTTGAACAATTTAAAGAAACCTTTTGCATCAGAAGTGTCAACTCCTTGGGTCAGTCTCTGGGATTCCACAAACCTGGCACAACACCCTTCTGACATTTACTGTGAGGTGAACACAAATGTCTTTGAACCTCAGTCCCCATAGCTCTGAAATAGAGACAAGATTCCCATTTACTGTCTCTTGGAGAGTATGTTAACACACGGAAGTGTTTACCACCATATGTGGTGTTGAAACTGATCTCTTACAATTACTGTCTAGTCTAGGGGTGTGGAATGAAAGCACCTGCCAATTTCTGGACTTGTCCTGAAGAATAAATGAACTGAAGAGAGTGAAATGCCTTCGCATACTTTTAATCCCAGCCCTCAGGAGGCAGAGGCAGGTGGATCTCTGTGAGTTCGAGACCAGCCTGGTCTACAAGAGCTAGTGCCTGGTCTACAAGAGAGTGAAGTGCCTGACTACATGCATGCTGGAGATACTCAAAAGTGACGCTGCTGGGAAGGTGGCTTAATGTGCAAAGTGTTTATCTTGCAAGCTTGAGGACTTTCAAGCTCAACACCCAGAACCCACATGTTGCAAAGGGGGGGTGGGGTGGAGAGAGGGCTCAGGGGTTAAGAGCACTGGCTGGTCTTTCAAAGGACCTGGGTTCAATTCCCTGCACCCACTTGGTCTGTAACTCCTGTTACAGGGGATCTGACACCCTCACACAGACATTCATGCAGGCAAAACACCAATGCACATAAAATTCAAATAAATTATTTAAAAAGAAAAAATGGGCAGTGGTGGCACATATCTTTAATCTTAGCTCCTGGCCAGGGGTTGGGGGGTAGGGGGTAGGGGATGAGGGGTAGGGGGTGAGGGATGGGGACAGAGGGGTGGGGGGGTTAGAGGCAGACAGATCTCTCTCTATAGAGCAAGTTCCAAGACAGCAAGGGCTAAACAAAGAAACTGTCTCAAAAAAAAAAAAAAACAAAACCACTGCCCCCCCCAAAAAAGCTGGACCATTTGCAATCCAAGCACCAGGCAGACAGATTTAGGTGGCTTCCTGAAATTCCTGGGCCATAAGCATAGTATGCTGGCTAATTTTATGTCAGTTTGTTACGAGATAGAGTCATCAGAGAGGAGGGAACCTCAATTGAGAAAAGACCTCTTTAAGACTGAGCTATAGGCAAGCCTGTAGGGCATTTTCTTAATTAGTGATTGGTGGGGGAGGGCCCAGCCCATTGTGGGTGGGGCCATCCCTGGGCTGGTGGTCCTGGGTTCTATAAGAAGCAGGCTGAGCAAGCCAGTAAGCAGCAACCCTCTGCATCAGTTCCTGCCTCCAGGTTCCCCGCCCTGTTTGAGTTCCTGTCCTGACTTCCTTCACTGGTGACAGTGAAGTGGAAATGTGAACCCTGTCCTCCTCAAGTTGCTTTGGTTGTGGTGCCACCTCTGGGTTAGTAAGAGACCCTGTCTCAAAATGTTTTTTTAAAAATAGATGATGCCTGAGAAATGACATTTAAGTTTCTCCCTGCCCTTCACGTGCACACGTGTTCTCCTGAACCTGCACACACGAAACATGTTCAAAAGGACACTTCACTAAGTAGAAGCAGGGATCTACAGTAGGGTGACTGCTCAGCCCATAACTGCTTTTTGTGATTAATTCACTTTATTTCTCTGAAGTTCAACCTCACTTCTGTAAAGTGGCAGCAAGGTCAATCCTTGGTTGCAGGGCTATTATGGGCTGAGAGGCATGAGTATAGGCTCTGTAAGCCAAGAAGGCTTGAGAAAGCTGCTGGAGGCTGGCCTAAGGAATAAGCTGATCTCGAAAACTGGTGGTGTGGCTTTATCAGGGTTGGCTCACATCAGTGTCCTGAGGCATCTGTGGGTAAACCCCGGGGAGCAAGGGGGTTGAGATGGATATAGCTATGGGCAAACCTAAACTCTTCCAACGCTCTGCCCCTCCCTGCTGGAGGGACACTCCAGCCACCGCAGAGGAGAGAGGTCTCTGACTTTGCCCTTGCTTCAAAAGCTTCCCCACTCCCATGAAGTGTGGGGAACATTCTCTCCCTGAGAAGGGACTTTTCCTGGGCCTGTTTCTGCAGGGTTCAGGTGACCCTTTGGAACCAGCTCGAAAGCCCTTCTCGCATGTCCTACTGTGTTTTAAAAAAAGGGGGGACTTTTCCCCATGGCCAGTCCCTTTCCTGCAGCTTCCAGCACTCTGGGGGGATTTCTCACCAAGTCTGCTGACACAGCTAAGGGGAAACTCCCCTCCCAACCTCCCTACCCGTGTCCTTTAATGCTTCCATTGTGTATAGAACTGCCACAGGGTCTGTGTGCTGAGTGCGACTGGGGTGAGGGAGGCAAGGGCTAGCTTAAATGTCTTAAGGACTGGTTTTCAGAGGAGCTGGAGAGCCCTCAGACCCTTCTCAAGGGGTGTCAGAGACAGGAGCCAGGGGGGCTGCATTTGGAGACTGAGATAGGAGGATTACCTCTAGCTTCAGTCCAGCCTGATATAAACAGAGAGATCCTAGTTAGAATAAATAAGAAAGAAAGGAAAGAAGGAAGGGAGGAAGAAGGTAGGAAGGAGTGACATTTCAAGAGGTTGATCTCTTAGTTCCTGTCTTAGTCAAATAGTCGTGAATTCATATTGAAACATAGCACAGGGGTTAGTGTCTCCTACTAATGTAAAGACTTGTTTTAATTTTGCTTGTAAGTAGTATGCCTTCTTGACAATAGTTTTACAATAAGTTCCCCCACCATGAAAAACTCTGGCAGAACTCCTATGTGCCAAGAACTGTGGCAGCCCTTTTAGATGTTATATCTCATTTAAACCTGGACCAAGGAAACTCAGGATCAGGGAGATCTTCATGTTGTAAATGTCTCTCTGATCAGGGCTTGTTCTAGCTCTAATTTGTTGGTTTTCTGCTCTCCCCACCCTTTGACGGGGATTGAACTTAGGTCCCTGAGTTATCTCTGCTGCTTTTCTAGAGAAAAGGTCTCCCTAAGTAGCTTAGGTTGGCCTTGAACTTAAAGTCTCCTCCAGTCTTGGCTTTTGAGTGTTGACACTGCAGGCATAAAGCACCACACCAGCTCTAACATAATCTTCTGATAAAGATAAATTTCACTATAGTCCAATTATCAATCTTATCCTTAATAGTTTGCCTACCTGAGGCTCTGAAGATAGTCTCCATATTATTTTCTGAATCTTATGGGCAACTGGGGACTTTGTGTATGGCATAGGAGAGTGGTAAAGTTATGTTTTCCAAATAAACACTTATTTGTGTTGGGCATGAGGATTCATGCCTGTAATTGTAGCCTTTAAGAGGCTGCAGTAGGATTGCTTTGAGCTCAAGGTTGACCTGGGCTACAGAGTGAGACTCTTTAAGAATGAACAAAGCTGGCAAGATGGTCCAGTGGGTGATGTTGCTTGCCACCAACCCTGATGATCTGATTTCAATCTCCAGGACCTACAGGGTTTAGGAGAGAACTGACTCCTGCAAGTTATCCTCTGATCTAGACACACACACACACTCACGCATACACACATACACATACACACACATACATATATACACTCTCACATATACACATACATTCACACATTGTCACACATACACACTCTTACACACATACACACTCACATACACTTCACATACACTCTCACATACACACTCTTACACACATACACACTCGCACATATATACACACTCACACATACTCACATACATACACACACTCACACATATATACACTCACACTCATGCATATACACATACATGCACATGCCCTCACACATATACACACATGCATACATACATACACATTCACACATATATATACACACATACGTACATACACTCACACATAGATAAACACAGACACACATACATACATATACACACTCACACACATGTACACTCACACATATACACACTCTTTCACACACAATGAAAATGCAATAAAAATTTTAAAGCAACAACAACAAAGCATCCTTACTTTTGAATCTGCCTCTGAGCTTCTGTGTGTTGCATTATTACACCAAGGCTGCACTTTCTTAATTACAGCCACTTTACATGCATCTTTCCCTCCCTCCTTCCTTGTCTTCCTCCCTCCTCTCATCCCTTTTGCTTTTTCCTTTCTTTCATTTTTTTTGGGGGGAGGGGTGCTAGTCAAGTGCTGTCTCATTGCTCTACTTTGTATTTTGTGATAAGGTCTTGTTACCTTGTACAGACTGGCCTTGAACTTTCTACCCTCTGCTGCAGGCTGGGATTAGAGGCTTGCAGGCCCAAGCCCAGGTCAAAGCCATTTTGATACCCAGTAGTCTAAGATTTCCAGCTCTGGGCTTTTGTTCTTTTCTTCTCTTTTGAAGACAGATTTATTTATTTTTATTTAAGTATAAGGTCTAAAGGTGTTTCACCTGTATGCATGTTTGTGAATCACATGTGTGCCTGGTGCCCACAGAAGTCAGAAGAGGGCACTGGATCTCCAGGAACTGGAGTTTCAGCCAGTTGTGATGTGAGCTGTACAATGTCAGGGTTTTCCAGGAAGGACATGGGCCCTTGTGCTTTCAAGGGCACCCTCTCCCCTCTTTTTTTGTTAGAGTGTTTCTGTGTAGCCCTGGTTGTCATGAAATTCGCTCTGTAGACCAGGCTGGCCTTGAACTCAGAGAGAATCACCTGCCTCTACCTCCCAAGTGCTGGATTAAAGGTGTGAATCAGGCTTCAAGTGCAAGCTTCTAACCTATGCTTTTAGTTTCCCCTGCTTCCTATGGATTTTATTTATTTATTCCTCCTTATCCTTCTCTTTCTTTGCCTATTTCTTGTTGGTCCCCTTTTGATTTGGTTGTGGTTTCTGAGATAAGTTCTCGCTTTGTTCTAGGTTGACCACAAACTCATGATTCTCCTGCACCATATTCCTGAGAGGGAGGATAACAGCTGTTGGCCCTTTTAATTTCCCACATCATCCTGCTCTCTTTAGATTTACATTTCTTGTTCTTACAGTTTGTTGAGAAGACTAAGGTAGTAATAATTGTTATTGTTATTAAGTTGATTTTTAAATGTTTCATCTCTTTAGGGCCATCATTACATAAAAAGAAAAATCTGTCCAATTTACTGGAAACAAATGCTACCTAAGCATAGCTTTTCTTTGCCCTATTCAATGCATAAAACCAAGTATATTTTCATATGGCTGAGTGCTGTATTTTTGTGACTTCTGTCATATCTTTCTGACAACCTCTTTGTGACATGAAAAAGCTTTCTTCTTTGTATATCTTCTTGCTCTATTCCTTCTGTAACTCATAGTTTAACTTCTTCTCTGGCTACACTGTATACTATTGAGGGCTTATCTGTTTTCAGAACTCAGAGAGAGTAGCTTGCTTTGACTTACTATGCTTTAGTGGGTCCTCATCTAACCACACGAGAGGGTCCACAGGACAGATGAGAAACCCTGGCTCCCTAGATACTTGGGTCATTATTCTGTACCTATGTGGCTATGGATGCATTTTGGCAGCTTCTATAAAACAGGGACAATGATTCTGCTCATCCCGTGAGGGCTTTTTGGTGATTGTATAGCACCTATATGATCAGCCAGCACAAAGGCCTAGCCTATTGAAGCAGATATTTT